GGATGGAGTGGCATCGAGGTAGACCGAGGAGAGGTAGCATTTGGTCAGGGGGTGCTGTGTGAAGAGTTTGGGGACAGGAGCCTGGCCTGGCCATGGATGCAGGAAGGTGGGGGGGTCAAAAATCATCTTTAGTATTTTCTTAGGTCCCCTGGGAGATGAGAGGCAGTTACAGGGTATGTCAGGGAGATAGGAAGGGTTGGGGTTCTTCCATCTGCTACTGGGACCCTAGATCCACTGTGCCTTTCCTTCCCAGGGAAGACCCTTCGCGTAATAGAGCCATGGGACAGCCGGGTGCCCCTGACTGCTGTGGCTGTCATGCCTGCCCCCCATACCAGCATCACCATGGCCAGCTCTGACTCGACCCTGCGCTTTGTGGACTGCAGGAAGCCCGGCCTGCAGGTCAGGGGCGTTCGGTTCCCTGAGCCCTGGCTTGGATGCCCAGCAGGGAGGAAAGACCCTGAAGAGAGAAGCAGGGTGTAGTTTCTCTTTGGAGACAAATCACCCACAGCAGCAAACGCTGGGGGGTGGGACTCTGATCTGGGATGAAGGGGTGCCCTCCCCTCGATGGGGCATAGAGGCTCAGGCCTTTTAGCCGTGTGGGCTTGGGGTGAACAGGACCTCAGGGAGAAATGGGTTGGAGTGGGTGGCAGTGCTTTAGCTCATCTCCCTCTGTCTGCAGCATGAGTTCCGCCTGGGTGGCGGGCTGAACCCGGGGCTTGTCCGCTCCTTGGCCGTCAGCCCCAGTGGCCGTAGCGTCGTGGCTGGCTTCTCCTCGGGCTTCATGGTGCTCCTGGACACCCGTACAGGCCTGGTTTTGCGTGGCTGGCCAGCCCATGAGGGGGACATCCTGCAGATCAAGGTGACTGACGTGGTCCCCTTTCCCTCCTCACTGCCCAGCCCAGCCCCTGCTCCAGGCCCTCTTAGGGCCCACCCAGGACCGGCTCCCTCGTACATGCCCCATGGCTGATGGGCGGAGAGGGTTAGGAGCCAGCTCTTCTGCAGGGGGCTCTGGCGGCAGGCAGGCCATGGGGGCGGGAACCAGGGGGCGAGCTGACCCTGCTGTTCCCTGGGGATGTTCTAATGAGTAACCCTTGTCCATATTTGTCTTGCTTGGAGGATCAGGGGTCAGGTCCTGTCCATGACCCAGTTCAGGTTAAATAAAGCTCAGCTGGGAGGGTGTTTACTGCCCCCGACCACTGAGCAGAGTCCATGGCCCGTGCTGGGCTGCCCTGGTGGGGGTAGGGACACCCGGGCATGGGGATCCTGCCCCTACCCCCGCCCATTCTCAGTCACAGACCTTGGGGAACTGCCCAGGGAGGGACCAGGAGGAGGAACAGGACTGTATGTGGAAGGATTTTTCCAGGCAACTGGCACCCCCTCCCTATCCTGACTGGAGCCAGGGGACATGCACTGCCAATACTAAGGGCAGGCTGCCCCCAACTCTGTCCGGGGCCCCAGAGCTTCAGGCACCTCTAAGTTCTGACCTTCCAAGGAAGGCTTTGGGGTCAGCCTGGGTATTATCTGGCAATGCCACTTACTGGCTCTGTGACCTTGGTAGGATTACTTAATTTTTCTTAGCCTCATGTTTTTTCTCTATAAAATGGGAACAACAGCATTTACGTCATAGAGTTGTTATGAAAATTAAATGTGGCAATATGGCATGCCTAACAAAATGCCTAGATACAGTAAGTGCTCAAATGATAGTGATGACTAGGTTAAAGACACTTTAACATATTAACTAGTGTTAATGTAATGTGGCGGGGGGGGGGGGGGGGGGGGGGCGGGCAGCTGGTCCCCTGCCCGGGATCCCCTGTCTTCCTGGGAGATACAGTGCAAGTAAACAGAAGACCTTGGAGCTCGGTGGGCACATGGGAGGGCCCAGGCCCTGCTGAGGCTCTCTTCTCCCTGAGCAGGCGGTGGAGGGCAGTGTCCTGGTCAGCTCCTCCTCTGACCACTCCTTGACTGTGTGGAAGGAGCTGGAACAGAAGCCCACGCACCACTACAAATCAGCATCTGACCCCATCCACACCTTCGACCTGTACGGCAGCGAGGTGGTCACCGGCACCGTGGCCAACAAGATCGGCGTCTGCTCCCTGCTTGAGCCGCCCTCCCAGGCCACCACGAAGCTCAGCTCTGAGAACTTCCGAGGCACGCTCACCAGCCTGGCCTTGCTGCCCACTAAACGCCACCTCTTGCTGGGCTCGGACAATGGGGTCATCCGCCTCCTGGCCTAGGCCAAGGTGGGGCTGGCCAACGAGGGTGGGCAGACATCCCCCGGGAGTCCATCCCTTACCCTTGTCTCCCCAGCAGCTCCCTCTGGGCAGGCCTCAGGCCCCACACTCTGTGCCCACATGGCCTGCCAGCCACAGTGAGGCAGGGGTCCAGGTTCCTGAACCGCCAGAGCCACCAGTGCTGCCAGAAGGGATCTCATTTGTGGCTTGGGGAGATGTTGCCCCGAGTCAGCAGGAAGCAAGAAAGGGAGCACAGGAAAGCATCGCTGCCCTCTCTTCTCCCCAGCTCTGCCCCCTGGGTCCCCATGGGGACAGGGAAGCTCTGAGAAGGAGAAGGGAGACTGGCCTTGTCCAGCCAGTGTCCAGCCAAGGACGCCCCCACCCCCACCTCCCCTTGTGAGCCCTCTGTGCCCCTATCTCACAAGGGCAGGGAAGCCGCTCCAGTCCAGGACACTGATGGTGCTTGGACTCCAGCCTCTAAGGAGGGCTGGTCCTGGTCCAGGAGTTAGGGGCCTTGGGGTGGTGTTTAAGTGTCCACCCAGCCAGGCCCTGCCCAGTATGGGACCAGTAGGAGAAGAAAGAGGGCAGGACCAGGGGAGGGAAGATGGACTGGTCCAGCTGGTGCCTGCCAGGAGTGACCCCATGCCTTGCCTGCCCATCCCCAACCACAGTGTTTGTGCCTTGAACTGAAGAGGCAGCCCCTGGGCCCAGAACCCTTGGGGAGTGGTCCAACACCCTGAGAGAAGGGGCAGGAATGATCTCTGCATCTCAGGTCTCTCCCAGGGGACAGGAAGACCCAGGCATCCCCGGACCCTCACATTCTAGAGCAGAGATGAGGTCTGAGCCTGGGCCCTTACTGCCTCTTCACTATTTGCAATAGATGTTAATATGACCAATAAATCTTTTGGAAGAGCCATGGAACTGAGTGAGGCTTTTCTTGATGATGGTTATCAGGGTGGGAAAAAATTGAGACCCAGCAGCTTCCAGGGCAGTGAGGAGAGTGAGAAGTAAGGCGGGAGGAAGGTGGGAGACAGCCTGATCATTGCTCTTGGGCACCACGGGGTACAGGGCTTCTGGTTCATGCAGCCCCAGGTCAGTTTTCCTGAACCCTCAGCTTGGGGGAAGGTAAGGAGGCTTTCTTTGATCCTGCTGAGGGAGGATGCTGGCAGAGGCCATGGCCCTCTCTCTTCTCTCCACCCCTTCCAAACCCAGACTGAAAGCAGCCAATCAGGATCCTGGGCTTGTAGGGATTGGGGATGGGCATCTTATCTTGGGTTCCTCACAGAGGCTCCCATAGCTTCCCCTTCCTTACCCTTAGGACGGGGGAGAGAAAAGGACATTGGAAGTGAGAAGCTGGAGGTGGCTCTGAGCCCAGCTGTGTCCTTGGGCATGTCGCATAGACTCTCTGAGCCCCACTAAAATGGGGATGAACCCCCACCCCATGGGGTTTGGGGGGAGGCCCTTCCTGGATCTGCCCTACAGATGAGGACAGTCTCCTCAACCGTTTCCTGAACCTCCTTTCTTCAGACTCAGGTGGGACTCAAATCCATGAGGGCTCCAGGTAGCTATCTCAGGGTTAGATGCCCTGGTGGGAATGGGGCTTCCGGCCCCAATATCAATGTTTAACCGGATGTGCAGGTCAATATTTACCAGAAGAGAAAGCAATTTGAACCGGGGTTGGCTGAGAGCAAAGGTCCTCCTGGTGGGAGGGGAGGGCTCAGCTGGGCTGGCTGGAGCCTGGGCAGAGTGTGGGGAGCACCCCAGTGGGGCCAGAGGGACAGTGTGCAGCAGCGAGGAGCCTGCAGAGGTACGAAGGGAGGGGTGGCTCGGCCTGCTCTTTGGGCAGGAGAGGAGGTAAGAGCTGCCTACCTGGATGAGGGGGTCTGGGGTGAATTTATTCAGGTTTCTTATTTCCCAGCATCCTGGGTGATGAAGACCCAAGGTGGGGGTTCTGGCAGGAGTCTCCCTGGGACTTCAAACTAGAGGTCTTTTCTTGCCAGGAAGTTTCAAAAGCCCAGGTTGGAGATCAGAGCCCTGGCCAAGGGTCCTTGTGCGTGATGGGGGGTGGGGCCAGGGGTGATAGAAGGACTGGTCCTGAGGTGGGGGTAGGGTTGGAGTGTGTGGGACCCGCTCTGGGACAGATCTAGACCTGCCCATCCCCACCCGCCAGCCTGGCTTCCCGGAGCTGACCTGGACAGAGTGGGGGGCAAGGCCTGTGCTTCCCGTAAGTCCAAAGGTGGCTCTGCTGGGAGCCATTCATTGGGCTCTGTTGCTGGGTCAACAACGTGGCTCTCCAGCCCATCTCACCAACGCTGCTGAGACCTCAGGGCCTCACGGGCCTGTCCACGTTGGTGGTCAAGACCAGACGAGCCAGAAAAGGTGGGCCACTGAACAGCAGGTTGGATAGGAGCTCTGGGAAAGGGGCCCCAGTATGGAGGAGGCTTCGGGGCAGGCTTCCCAGAAGAGGGGCCCTGGGCTAGGCTGACAACAGTCATGTGACTGAGTGCCAGGCATTGTAATCAGGGCTCACAAAGACGGTCTTATTTTGGTCCTCACAATAAACAGTGGGAGGAGGTAGGGACTTCTGCTACCATTTGACAAGAAAAGGCAAAGCCCAGAGGGGTATGGGAGATCTATCTCAGGTCCTCTGAGAAGAGGCAGGATGTGGATTCTAAACCACGGCTGACTCACAACATGGGGCCTTGAAGAATGAGGACTGCTCTTGTTTTGATATTTGCCCTATAAACCTGAACATTTTCAGTGCACGAAATGGGAAAAACCGGAAAGTAAGAAGGGGTTAAAAGCAATTAGGGGGAGCTCCCCACCCCTGAGAGATGGGAGCCAGGGCCAGTGTGTTTTCGGGTGGGTGTGCAGGCGCTTGCTGGGTTGACCCTCAGCCGTAGAGGCTCAGGAGTTGCCAGGCCAGGCAAGGTGTGGGTGGGATCCCGCGCGGGAGCGTGGGCGAGCTGGGGACGCAGGCTCCCTGTCCCGCACAGGAACATGGCGCTGCTGCTCCGGGGGCTCCTGCTGCTCGGCTTGTCCTGCCTGCAAGGCCCCTGCCTGGTGGTGAGCCTGGGCCTCGGTCAGGGTGGGGCGGGGAGGCAGGTGGGGCCACGCCGGGG